TTCAACCCTTGGAGTCGGAAAATTTGTAATATTTGCGAAGCAATTAGGTATTTTTAACATACAATTTTATTAAAAGACGGGTTGAATTGAACATAAGAAACCCTTGCCTGAAAAATTAATTTGCAAATGTTGAGACAAAAACCAGTTGCCCAACTAATTGATAAAATTTTATCCAAACTTCAATCATATTCAAGGATGTCCTTCTTTAGTTTGTATAACAAGTAATCCAGTAAACTGATTCAAATGCATTATAGTCCAATCAAATATCTATAGTCAAATATTTTACATAGTAATGTGATGATGGAGTACTAATTTTTGTGCAATGCGTCTTCCTAGCTTCAGAAGTGGATGAACGGAAACGGAACTGATTGTGTTCCAGTAGCGTGATCAAATGCCTCACGTTTCTATGCTTGATCAATTTTGGAATACTTATTATGGAAATAAGCGAATAATTCTGAATAAATTGCTTAATACCCTGATTACACAAGCCATTCGGAGAGTTTCGCTTTAAACACAAAAAAGAGCGTGTCTAAAAGTTGTCAAATAAAACCTGAAAGCACACCTGGTCAGCAGAAAAACCATTTTAGAATCGTATCCAATGATTTTTCTTTTGAATTTTTGTAACAATTTCTTATTTAAAATAAATCACTTACTCTCATACCGTTGGCCTCGAACACTAATTGTTTCTTTCAAAATAAGCATGAAGAATTGCGCAAATTGAGCTCAACGCAAGGTTGAGGCGAACCATTGGACTGGCTGGAGGGCGATACGATATTGAAACTGACATCATTGTGGCTTTTCCAAACATTGTTCAAACATAAAAAAGAAAACAAAACAAGACTGCTCGTATCAGGGCGAAGCCCTGAATGTTGCGACTGCTTTTGAAGTCTTATGGAGCAGCAGTAATAACATAAAAACATTATTTGAAATAACTCAAAATGAAAAAATTTTTTTCTAAAATTCAAAATTTTTTATGAAAATCATCCACCCACACGCCATATAAAGGTACAAAAAGTTAGTTTTCGTTCCTTGTAACACACCAATTATGGCAAATAAGCTTCGTTCAACTAATTTGGAACGATTTATAAGACGGATTAAATCTCCGCTTACGCGTTATTAGCGCGAAATATATCGCGCGTTAATTGTCCCAAATTGGTCAAAATGGCCAAAATGGCAATCTTTAAACCCTCATAACTTTACGAAAAATAATCACAGGTGAAATATCTTTTCAAATTTAAGCTCAGGACAACAATACTTTTTGAATGATACAAAAAAAATTCCGTCAAAAATGGCTAGTTAAAAAGTCGAAATTTGTCTGAAGAAAAAAAACCCACCCCGAGCACAAATATTCCGTTACTTTCGTATCGAAAGTCGGAACAACAACAGCTAATGCTTTTCATGAGACTCAGGGCGGAAAAATTTAGATCGATAATGAAATTACTGTTTTGGTTGGAAATATTTTGCACAGTTAATATGAAAAAACATTGGCGTAGCTCTAAGAAAATTTTAAATCCAATGTGAACGTACGCCATTGTTAGCAATATTTGAAAAGTTTATTGAACATTACAGCGAGTAAAACGGATTCAAAAGCCTTGAAAGATGGTTTGTAAGATCAATAGATTGGCCATAGGCGCGTTATTGGCGGTCAATGTCAACTTGGCGAACCTTTGGTTGATCAACTTGGAGGTAAATTTAACATTGGTTATACCCCGAGAAAATGACACGCAATAAGTCAAGAATATTAAATAACCTAAGTGCAAAAAGATAACTTTTAGGTCCAAATAATTTGAGTGTGTTGATTGCTTCAATTATTTTCAGAAAATATGTAATGGGATTTCGGATGACGACTATTCAGACAAAATAAAAAAAAATCATTCTGTGAAATGTGCAAAAGTAGAAGTGAATTGAAGGTTCAATATGTGGGATGACCGTTACATAGATGATTGATTGAGAACCCTGAAACACCGCCTGGACGTGGTATTTCAAATGGCCAATTAAAGCTATAGTGACAATTAACAGTTAAAAGTTCTGAGACGAAACAGATTTTTCTTTTGTTTGGCATTGCTAAAAGTGTAGATTGCAACAAAAGTTAGTTGTGAGTGGTAGGAGAAATCAACAACAACAGGTCCAATCAAGATATTCGGAGATTGTGCAACAGTGCAATACAAGAAGAATTCTGTAGGTTGATCGATGCGCAGTGTTTTGAGGAGCAACATCATATTTAAATTTTTCCACAAGGCAATGGTGATTAGAGATGAAACTATGAATTTTCTTTTTCATATCAAGTTTTTCGCATCAAATTTTATGGATGAACCAATACAAAAAACATCCAACACAAGCCGTTAAACGGTTTTAGTTACTGCTATGTATACCGATCGGTTTTTTACAATGGCTAATTGAAATCAATTTTTATTGATGTATTTGCATTTGTGCAAGAAGGCGACAATATGAACAGCTTTGAGATAAATCTTCCAATGATTATCTCGTAAAAAATTGACCACTTGGAAATGAAGAATAATAAAAAAAATTTAGTGCAAAAGACAACAAACATTTGGGGCCTAAATGTTTGAGACTAGATTGTTGTGATTTTTCGACTTGGTTTCAAAAAATTTGGGGGGATCTTAAATCAGAATCATGGATGCAAAAAAAAAAACGTTTCTTTTTTTTGCTGTTTTTTTCAATATGTTTTATCTATTACTTTTTCCCATCAACTACGTGGCTATTTTGTATTTCAAAACGACAAAAAAAACAAAAGGCAGTTTTTTTTCCTTTCTGGTACTGATAGTTGAAATTGAAAAGGAAATGTTTGCCGGGGAAAGTAATCAAAAACAGCGTTCTGAAGCTTTTTAAATTCTGTCTTTGCTGCAAAAGTTTTTTTACTAATAAAGGGTGATTGATCTGTGCTCAAGCAGAATCCTTAATCCTTATATAATCAGAAAACTTATAAAACTCTCGTAGCAATAAGAATTTGCTCTTCGGCAGAACAAAAACAGATGCCCAAAAAACTTTCTTTTCTTTCCAATTATTGCACTCAAAAATTTCGTGGTCAAAACAAGGAGTTTTGACAGTTTATCAAGCCGTTGATAAACCGTTTGTAAAGATGAGTTAATGAGCTATAAGACCATTTTATGAAACCGCCGTTTTTTGAATTGCGTATTTGAGGGCTGGACTTCATAGCTAAAACAATATTCTGTTATCGTTTATCTGACAGAATTGACAAGTTTTTTGCAAACTCTGCGTCCAAATTTAGTTTGAAATCTATTCCAAGTCAATTATATCTATCTCTTGAATTATGGGTGTGATCCAAGTGACATTATGTAAACTGAGTACCGTCAAGAGGGGTGAAGTGATTGTTTGTCGCCCACACAACCTGTCGACCCAGATGCAAGGGTGCGATCCGGGTCCTGGTGCAATAGGGCAAATTTGGACAAAGTGTAGTACATCCTGTTTTTTATTGTCAAACTGCAATCGAGTGACTGTGCAAAGAAAAAGTATCTCGACCACTCTTCGAAGTCAAACAGACTTCTCATAATAAGCAAACGCAGGTAAACACTTGCTGCTTTCACTTGACTTTTGAGCCTTTTTGTTTAACTGGTCACAGTTTAATCTGTCAAACGGAAAGAGATAAACTTATACTGCCTTTTATTAACTTCATCAACAATTATAACTAGATTAAATTTTAGAAATTCTCTCGAAAGATGATAGTCAAAGATTTTTGACGTGATTTTGCCCTTAACGTCCGAATCTGAACAAAATTTTAAATTCAAAAAGTAGGGACATGTTTTCTCTGATCAACCAACAGTTCTATGAATATTACGAAGACAAAACTGAAAGCACAGCTGGCAACGAATTGAAATATAGCAGCGGAATAACTGATCATGGGTAAGTTTCAAATGATATAGCATTCGATAATAGAACTTCAACCTACATGCATTTTCAGTTTCTTATTATTGAAATTTGATGAAAAAATGTTCCAAAAGGATGTTTTAGTGTTTTTGATACGTATTGAAGAAAAATTGCATTTGAAAGGCATTGGCATTGGATATTATGATAATTTGGCCATAACACGAGTTTCAATCATTATGATTATATTGGTTAACGTTCTCTCCCGGAAAACCTGTCGAAAGAACCCACAAATTTAACTACATATTCAGTTGTTTTTTTGTTCAGTTCACATTTCCCGACCTACGAAGACCCGGAAAATTTTTCGGAAAATCTTCATTCTTCAAATAGCCATTTGATATATCTCAAAAAACAAAGAGGAACACTTCCAAAAGAAGCTGTAGACATCCTGCGCTCTTGGCTGGAGTTACACAGATATCACGCTTATCCGACGGAACAAGAAAAGATTTCACTCTCGGAAGCTACCAACTTAACGCCTCTTCAAGTTTGCAACTGGTTCATAAATGCAAGAAGACGAATCTTACCCGCCTTGATCAAAAAAGAGGGCCGCAACCCTTCGCATTACACAATCAGCCGAAAACCCAGAAGACCGAATAAATTTTCAACGAACCGGAAAGTGAATACGAATTTCCAGGAAAACCCACAACCAATCAAATTCTGGAGACCTTGGTTGCAAGAAGAAAAAATGCAAAATATTCAGAGTAGAAAAATGCACTGCTTCAAAATGTCTCATATCGAGCAAATTTTAAGATTCCGGAACAGTCAAACCATCAAAAGAAGATGGCACAGTTTGAGATTTTCATCGAACTTGTCTGAAACTGCTCCTAAGAGAGAACCAAATTCATTTAAATCACATCATTCATTTCAAATTCAAAAGTTTTAAATTTTATAAAAGAGTCTTATGCGGTCCGATCTGTATCTTTTATTTTGCTTTTAATATAAAGAATTTATTTTTGGTTACTTGCACGTTAACTTTTCTGAATAGAAGTGCTTAATTTCATTGTAAAAATAGTTTTCTTGTCCCTTTGCAGTATCGGTTCGACGAGATGAAAATATACACCAAAAAATGGTATCGTCAATTTCAATTTTTAACCAGTTTAAAATAATCAAAAACAATAGCATCATTATGAAAAAAAACTTCTTGTCTCTAATGTGACGGAAAAGCCGTGAATTCAATTATATCTTTCTATGAAAAACTATCTTGTTTTGATAAACTAAAACAAACATCACAATTTATTTGAATCCCTGTTAGTATTAGTGAGACTAATTCGATGATTATTAGTTCGTATTCTTCTGTTCGGCTTCATTCGTTCACACCTCACACTTTCATTCACACTTTCTATCAGCTCATGGATGCGATGAAGGAAGAGGGGAGGGGCGCCGCTGATCGGGTCACAGTATACTTCGCCTGCTTTGGGGGAGCCGGTTTTGCTGGCTTTGCTTTTGTTGTCTAAGGACTGTTTTGGTCTCCACTTGCCTGAAATTGAATTCTATTATTTGCCATTGACACAATAGTGTCTTATGAAGAATCATAATACTTCACGCGAATTAAAATCAACCAAATATGTTTTCAGAACTCTTTCAAATCACTATAAATGTATGCTAGTGAAAATAAACAAAATGTTTCAAAAAAATTCCAACCCTTTTAAATGTATTAAGATGATTTTATTGTATGAGCGAAGATTCATGCAAAAATTGTGTAAGATTTTCCCTTTCTCGGACCTGCAGCTTGAAGTCAAAAATTGTTTGGGCTCTCTTCCACTCCCCCGCCCCCACAATTCAAATTTTCCATTTAAATAGTTCTTTTACTCTGCAAAACAAATCCATTTTTTTATATACCCCAGTTCCCCTAGAATAGTGACCCCTATGAACTGGAACTGGGGGAGAGATCTGAAGTGACCCCACCGGAATGCTTATTCCATGAAATTTTATCCCAAAATTATAACGAAATATGCAATTTTTAGGAGCTCTAAATAAATTTAAAAAACTGTAGCCTGCATTAAACTACCTAAAATGTATGCCATTTTGGGCTCAATTACGATGTGATGTTGAACAGAATCGATCTGGAGTTGCGGGAGCCACCTGATGCTTTCGAAACCCCCCTTGCAATGAAAACTACCTATTTGATCAAAAGATGTACAACAATCCAATATTTTTTGATCCCCGCGAAGTGCGTACTGCAGAGTACGTGTTACTTTGACGTAATGTGTGAAAAGCAAATTTGTTCACGAGGGTTGGTTTGTTCACCAACCAGAACTTCATTGCAATAAAGCAACATTGAAACCTTTTTTTGCTTTGCAACTCAAACATGGGGTGCAGTGTTCAGACGTGTTTTGAGCATTGCAATCTCTTCCATAACTTTAACAATATTCTCTGCAACAAAACTTTGCATTTCCTAGGAAATAAAGAAAACAGATAAAACAATCCTTACAACTTGAGCAAAAGATCTGAATTTGCATCTTTTGAATTTTCCCCATAATCTATCAAACTTATAATTATTAGTGGTGAAGATTCTGATATTCTACACGAACAATACTTTTCATACTCCAAATTTTTAAAGACGTTTCGGAAGAACATCAATATTACAAAAAACAACAGTTATTTTCCAGTTTCCCATTTCCTGAAATGCCCGTCTCAGATTCCCCCCCCCCATACTCCTTTCAAAATTATACACATTAGCGAAGCTGAGATTTGCTCCACTTGCGATACAAAATGAATAACTTCGATTAAAATCAAATGAAAAGAAAAGTAGAAAATTTGGGGAAAAAAACCTTCAAAAATTATTTTTTGTCAGTACAAATCATGAAAATTGCAACGAATGTCCAAAACAATTGAAACAAAGTTACTGGCACTATTAGAAATTTAACAAAAATTTTCAGAATGCTAGAAAAAATTCCGAGGTTTAGGAGCTTTTTTCGGAACAAAGCTGACAAAAAAGGAAACGGACAATGATCCAGGGGCGGATTTAGGGGGAGGGGGCGGGGGAAGCGGACGCCCCCTTCCCTCAGGGATTCGACCCCCTGCCGACCCAAAGGGTCCCCCCTTTGATACTTTTTAAGAAATCCATTTTTGGCCGAGCGACGCCAATATATATTAATTTTGAGGGGGAGCGCGCGCCAAAAAACGCAATTTTTTTTGTCAAAATTTCTCAAAAAGTGCCCAAAAACGGCTTTTTTTGACTGTTTTTTCAAAAATTTGGCTGCGGCGTATAAAATTTAGCCCAAAATAGGGAAAAAACAGTGTTTGGGATAGCTCAAAAAACCAATTAGGTCGACATAAAAAAAGGTCAAAATTTTCAAAAGTTTTTTGAAAATCCCCCCCCCCCTCGAGAAAATCCTGGATCCGCCCCTGCAATGATCTATGCTAGCCGAAAATTTTAAGTTTGCAAAAAAACAGGTCTCGACTAGATTCGAACTACTAAGCTTTGTTGTCTCAAGCAGGAGCGTTATATAAGCTTGGAAGAATTGAAAAAAAAATTGGGTTACGGGAACTAAGCAGACAAAATTAACAGACGGACTATTTTCTGAAAAGCACAAAAACTCTGGTTTGCGAAAAAAGTCCCGTCCGGATTCGAGCTACAAGCTTTTACAGTCTCAGGCAGTTGGGTTACCAGATGTTTAGTGTGTTTAGTGTGTTTGATTGAATGTTTAGTGCAAGATGTTTCGTGTGTTTGATTGAATTTCAAATTACAATTACCAAATGATAACAAAGCCTAAAGAATACCTGAGCAAAACCCTTCATTCTCAAAATTGTTTAACAAAAGTAAGCCGACAAAATTCAAGTCCACCTTCCCCTGACGCACATAAAACTTTTTTTGGTCATCAAACGACGCAATAAGAGGCTATTAAGTCGATATAAAATATGTCGACACCTAAATATTATTCCAAAAAAGGACAAAAAAACTGAAAAAAAAGTAATTTTAAAAATCGACTTGGTAAAAGTACAGCAAATTTTTATAAAGCCGGATATTTCAAATGCTAACATTCTCAAAATATCTCTGTGCAACAGAAAAGCCGAGTAGGGAGTAGGTGATTGAGTCCAGGATTAGAGTCCTGCGATCAAAACTATTTACGGGGAAAAGTTTAGTGCCAGATTGCAATACCCTTGCTTAACTCAAGGGTAAATATAATGTGGTCACAAATTTATTCACAACACAATTAAATTAGTTTAAAATAGTTCAATCAGTGCAGTTATCCACACGGACATATTTAACATGAATTATTTGAGCAAAAGTCATTTAAATTGCATTCATTAAACTGAGTTTCGGCAAAAATCAAGGATGTAACTGGAAAAGATTCAAAACAATGATTGCTATGCATCTAAGCAATTTTCTTCAGATGCTCCTGCTTGGAAGTAAACATATTTCAGCAATCTCGCGTATGATACTTTGCTAAGTATCTGCTTGAGACTAGAAGAAATTACTAAAATCACTGTTGCAAAAACAGCAAAAAAAACGAAAAATTCGAAAACTGGGACTTATTTTTTGTAAATGAATGCAAACTTTGCAAGAAAAGCTAGATGTATATATCACCACACAAAATCTTTGCATTGATCTAGCAAAATGTTGCTTTATAGATCACAGGTATGAAAAGAGACAAGGTAAAGTTATTGGTTAACAGAAGTACGATACCCTTCAACGATTTCCCCCATTTGGCCTCTCGTAAAAAATTAACCACCCAATCAAAGTTCTAACTCAACGATTAATCATAAACAAATATTTATTTAGTAACGAACCACCCTTTTGCGATGAAGGATGGAAATTAGTTAAAGAGATACACTTTTTGTGAAGTTTTCTTGCCTCTGGTTTGTTCGTGAATGAATGGGAGTGAGGTTGGGTTAGGATGAGTGTGATGAGGTGAGGGCAAGTCGATGCCACCAATGCAATTGTTCTGTCTCGCATACTTCTCAGCCGCTGTCTCCTCTGTTGGGCCCACTACACATGTATCAACTACCCCTGATACACCATTACCACCACAATCGGCCGAAGATCTGCATAAAACAACCGGATGGTTATTTAGAAAATGAGAAAAAAGAGTATTTGGCTTGTAATAATCCGGGTCGAAGTGCTCACTTTCTGATTTGACTTTCAAAGTCTAACTTATGTCAGTGCTCAACCGAAACAGAATAGATGAGACAGGGGTTTGGGTGGAGCAACAAGTCGAAACAGATGATTGCAATAACGACAGAAAGCAGCAGTGTTAATTTTGATTTTTTGGATATTTTTGTTGAGTTCTTTTTAATCTGAGTTTTTTTCAAAAACGTTACTGAAAGTTGGCATGTTTTAACTAATCCAGTCAAATCAAGCTCGGTAAGAGTTTGCGTCTGGAGGACAATCAATCTGCTTTTTTCATCATTCTCAGCTTAGTTTTGGACACAAAAACTTGAGCTCTCATTGAAAAATGAAGATAGAAATCAGCATTGATTTTTTGGGCGGAATAAGAGCGAGTTTAAGCTGGATAAGAGTGATTTGAAGGAAAATACGAATAAGATGTGTTCGATGTATTTTTTTACTGGAAAAACATCGAATTTATGTCTGACAATAGTTTTTGAAAACCTTTCCTATACCATCTGAAAAATATTACAGCTAATTAAAAATATTATTCATAATTAAAGTATATTCATAATTAAAAATATTTTCCCCACAGATCCCTTTTGTTAATATATGATGGGGTTCAAAAATTGTCGATTTCTGATTAATGATGCGCGCGAAAACTTTTAATCAATTTTACCCTCACACCATTTTCAGATCAAAGTGACATGAATGTTTCTCATTGAGTGCAGGTTATTTCGACCAATTAAGTTGCCACAGTTCAATATGGAGTTATTTTTCAGCCGGGTTAAGAATCACAAATTGGTAAATTCAAGTTCATTTTTCAAAAACAATAGTGGCAGATAAAATACCTTTTTCAATTATGAGCTCAGGGTATTAATATTCCGTCAAACCTAATGCAGCAAAAACCACTTTAGCAACATAAAAATCAAGTTTTTTGAAGGAAAAACCAAACGGTGCACAATTATTCCTTCTTTCATCAATTTTGGAACAAAAACATCGCTTAGTCATACGAAAACAAAATCATACGAGACATTGCGTGTGGGACAGGGTCGAAATCATAATTTTTGGAAAATGGCGCAAATTTTCAAGAACTATGTCAACTTTTTTTCCGGATTGACCAAATGAGTCCAACGCACTATAAAAAGCTTCGGAGACAATTTTAGAAACATAGCCAACTTACAATTAGAAAAGAGTCAATGAACACAAGTAGCTCATTGGAAAAGAGTCAAGGGATTGGGAAAGTAGTTTCAAACATGGCCAGAAATGGATAACTTTAGCACAGAGACGAAAGTAAGCACAAGCGAGAAGACGACACAAAGCAGCACTAAAAATTGAAACAAGCCAGAAAACCGAAAAAAACTCAATTTAATTTAAGTTTACAAATTCAATCTGCGTAATAGAGATTAGGAGTTGCACGTTCTTACATCTGCGCCAGGTACCATTGAAACATTCATTATACTAGCCACCAATGATGCAGCTATAGGTGCTATTAAATTACCAATGCTATGCAGCAAAAGTGCCACTAAACATAAATAAAACTATTGCTGCAAAGTGCGGCGTTGAAGCTCTGACAAGTAGCTTCGAAATATCACGTCCTTCCCTCTGATGCTTGAATAACTGCAAATACTAGCCACAAACAAAACAGATGAAACTTCAAACGCAAAACGCAACAGGTTGGGTTTATAATTAGTGAATACTTTTAATGAACACTTTTTTGTGACTTAGTTTCAAAAAAATGCATCATATTATCATATGGAGCTTTGCATCAATTTCGATACATCACAAACATAAAAACATAGGAAATTGAAAAAAAAAGAAAGCTGTTGAAAAACGAATGTCTACCTAAAATTATATATTTTGTTATGTCTCTATAAAAGATCTTTCGAGGCAAAAAAAGTCGGACATTTGAAAATTAACTTACTAACGTAACAAACCTTCAGAAGAGGAAACAAAGCCGACAATCCTTGAGCAGACAAGTTAAGCCAAAAAAAGTTTTATAAAAAAACCTCTCTTGAAACTTCGAAAAACAACACATGCACATGCACATACAATCAAATGGCACAAGCAAAATCCGTGAAGTCCCGACAATTCATTTTTACCGGAAAAAATTTACATCACAAACAAAAAAACATAGGAAATTGAAAAAAAGAAAGCTGTTGAAAAACGAATGTCTACCTAAAATTTTATATTTTGTTATGTCTCGATAAAAGATCATTCGAGGCAAAAAAAGTCGGACATTTGAAAATTAACTTACTAACGTAACAAACCTTCAGAACAGGAAACAAAGCCGACAATCCTTGAGCAGACAAGTTAAGCCAAAAAAAGTTTTATAAAAAAATCTCTCTTGAAACTTCGAAAAACAACACATGCACATGCACATACAATCAAATGGCACAAGCAAAATCCGTGAAAGCAGCTAAGCCGACAAAACTTGAGCGAAAGAATTCCCGACAATTCAATTTTACCGGAAAAAATTTCAGTTGCATACATACTGAAAAAAGGTACTGCCCGGGACTTGAACCATTGACTCGAACAACTGATGAGTTTATAACTTACTCGATAAGTCGTAGATTTTTTTAACAGCCAATCCTTGTTGGTGATTGCAAGTTTACATTTCTGTAACTGTGTTGAAATCAACTGAGCTAAACTTTTTTAGAGAAAAAATATGTGGATGAAAAAAAAAGAAACGCTTTCACCTACCCGAAACTATTGGCCCGCTTCATTATTCTTCCGTCGCGTTTCACAAGACTAGACTGCTGTTTTTGCTTCCGGTCGAAGAGAATTGACAACCTGTGACTAGAGGGTGACAAAATATCTCCATCTTTAGCCGCCATGAACTTTTGAGACCGCACTTTGTTGAACTTTGCCGAATCAGTTATCGCCTCATCACTTGTCGTATCATCGATGGCATCATAATCTACACCATTTGGGTTCTGCTGGCTGGCTTTTGTGTCATAATTTCCATTTTCACTCCTAGGAGTTGGTTTCGGAGCTGGTATGTAGTTTGGTTTGCATAAGTTGAATGGCACTATGTTTTTGCTTCTGGAACTTGTGAGAGATTTGAACTCGGGGCCATCGTACACTTTAAAAACAAATTAAAATACTCAGAGGCGGTTGTACGGCAACTTTGGAAGGTTTTGACCGATAACTTGCAGTGACAGCGCGCAGCAAAAACACAACTTTTGGGCAATTTCGGCACGTTTTTTTTATAAAAAAAAATTTCACTTAAGTGTAAACATTGTCGGTTAAATTTGATGCTTTAGGAGAGCTCGGAAATCCACAACTGACACTACTTGCCGACTATCAAAGGAAATAATTTTGTGCAATTTTGTGAATTCAATCAAAATTCTGAAGAATATGAAGTTTTTCATTTGCAGAAATGATTATTGATTAAATATGAATCCTCCCTTAAAATCTGGATACTATTTTCAAAGAATGGGTTGAAATTTTGATTCTACCTTCAAAGAATTGGTTGAAAAACAACAAAAACCTGCAGTTCTGATTTGGACTGTGCTGTCTTGACTTTGGTCCTCTCCTCCTCCCCTCTGTCTGTTTATCAGCTGCGGCTGAGATCTCTCCAACATGTCAACCTCTACTCCTCTGAGGAAACCTCGATTGGATGAAGATGAAGGGAGAGACTTGCTAGTGTTGCTCGTGTTACTGTTATAGACTTCAACAGGAAGCTCTTGTTTTAACTGTAACTGCAATTGGTCCCCTTGAAAACTAAAACAAATACGTTTTGGTCAACATGGAAAGAAAATCAGGAGTTTTCGCAACAACCCCCCGCTCAACAATCAATGCCCGCTTTAACATCAAATATTACCTAGTGAAAAAAAAAACAATTTAACAGTAAAGCATGCTGAAACTTGAGTCTGTCGCCGAAAGAGAATGATGGTTAAACAGGCTTAAATGTGATATAAGCGAAGTTTTGGCAAAAAAGGTCGCTTAAGTGCATAAAAAGCTTTCCAAGGCCATAAAATTGTAATGCACTTTTTTAATTTGGGGTATATTTTATATCAGTTATCTTTATAAGAGTCAAGAGACACTATTTTATTGTCATTAATGCCTGTATAGTATCCTTGATGCTGTAGATTTTGCTCTAAAAAGTTATGTTATCTTTGCTTCGAGAAATTATGTAACTGCATCTAAAGAATTTCAACTTCAATTTCAAGACTTCTATGTCTTCTATAAATTAACCTGCTGGAGGTGTGTGAGGAAGAACTCTCTCTGATAGGCTGGACACTTTTGGTGTCCTTGTGGCAGTTGATCAGGTACCCGGTCACGCTCTCCATACTCACGCTAGAAAAAAAATCCGTTACATCAGGGGTGGATCAAGATCTTCACAAGAGGAACACTTTCAAATTATTTCGTCGCCTTTTTTGTTTTTACATCTTCGAGCGTTGAGTTTTAAACTCTTCTAAAATTTTGCTGGATATTTTGGTTGAAAATTGCGCTTTCCTATCATGAAATTAGTCTTTTGATTGGCCACGGATCAAATCCCTGAGAAAGTGGGCCCGTTTAAATCCAAAATTTATGATATCCATTTCGGCCGACTCTAAGTTTAACCTAAAGTCATTTTTTGGCGTCATTAATTTTGTGTCCGGTTTGAGGTATTTTGTAACACGTGGAAAAAAGCGGATTTTTTGGACAAAATCAACTCTGCTAAGTATAAATTTGAACGAAACGAACGGAAAATTTTGCCCAATCTGGTACAAGTATCCTCAGAAAAATTGTATCCGAGAAGTTTTTTCTTTTTTAGCGCGTTACAACGGATTAAAACCTCAACACGGACTCTCGACTTATACTCAAACTTTCTCGAATGGAGACGATAATCATTTTGCTACTATAAACTCTGTAGATACTTTTGGTCTCGAAATGACATCAGCGCGACCATTGAAAGTCAGTCTGGGCATATACCACGCGCCTCAGTCTGGGTTGAGAGTGCTTTGCTCTGCAAATTTGAGAACAAATTGCTAATTTTTTGGTTCGTTGTCACATCAAGCCTATTCCCATTATCCGAAAATCATAAAGAAATAGCATCGCGCGTGTAATTTAACTCATTATTTTTTGGACCGAATCAACTTGCTAAAAAATTCTGCAGGTCACTTACATGTTTTGCATTGAAGACTCGTCCGTTGTATCAAAAGAAAACTTTGCCTCTGGTTTGTAAGTTGAAAACAAATCTGCAATCTGCAAGTTGGAAAATTCGCTGGATTTGGTTGTCTCTTTTTCAGTTTTTTTCTCTCTGTTCTTTTTCTTCTTACATTTTGAGTTTTTAATCTCTTTTGGGATGGTAATTTGATCAACTTCTTCATTTCGAGGAAAGCTTTTAATTTGTTTTCCTTTCGAAAACAGATAAAAATCTCGTATGCCAACTGGTTTTGAGGCAAAAAACGTTTCGGCCGACTGCAACGCTTTCGCCGAAGTCATTGATGACAGTTCATTGGAGACGAAGTTTGCGAACTCCTTTTTAGTCTTACGCAGCTCTTCGAAGTTCGATGTCTTGCGTGAAACAGTAACATCTCCGCAATTTTGACCTGCCGGAGTTTTCTCAGGTTCACTTGAAGAACATCCAGAGTTTGAGTTGCTGGCTTTTCGCTTCTGATGCAGTTTTTGTTCTATCGAATCAATAATCGGGAGTTTTCTGACACCTGCTGCGTTCGCTTTTTGGTTCCGCAAATTTTCTTCCAATTCGATTTCAATAATAGAGTAAGAGTTCTGTCCGTGTGCCAGTTGAAGAGAGGTTGCTTGATTGGTTTGGTTGCTGTTTGGCGACCCGTTAAAGAAGGTTTGTTCACTGTTTATGAAAGAGAATTCACGGCCTAAAGATGTCTTTTGCTGCTGAAAACTTCTAAGTTCACGCACCGCTTCGTCACGAGCTGAAACATTTTCCAATGACATGATAAATAATAACTATGAATCCAGAAAAACATTTAAAAAAACTTAATTAACATAATTGCATGTAAAAAGTAAACCAAAAATTATTTGCAGAATAAAATAGTTTTGACCATAGTTTTGATTGAGAGTTCATTCAGTTTTTTTCCAAACTCTTTCCGAATACCTGTTTTACTAATTATATTTGTGTGCAAAAGCAATTAAATTTTCGAAAATTTTATTTCAAATTCAATATAATTTCAAATCAAAACGAAGCGAGTAAAAAGATGTCAGGTGGAGAATTTAAATGAACTTTTGACTCACTTGAAAGCATCTTATCAAATACGTTTTTTATTATTTGGCTGATTAACGTTTGGTGACTTTCGAGTATTTCAAGATGACAACTGGGTGATCTTAACTAGAGTAAGATGATAATTTTAAACGTTTTTGTTTCGGCCACCATATCATTTAAATTTTGTTACACACATCATTTAAATTTTGTGTTCAAATTTAATCAGAGGGGACTGTACTTTTACTTTTTTGACCAAATTTGAAAGGTTCAAATACGAAATGAAACTGGATATCTTACAAACGAATAGCGAAAAATTAAATTATTCGCAAATAAATTGAATAATATAATGTTGATTAAAAGTTGTTACAAAAAACACTAGATTTCAATAAAACATAGACACACTTGAACCAATCAAAAATTTTGTTGATAATAAATTTTCGAAAATTTTATTTCAAATTCAATATAATTTCAAATCAAAACGAAGCGAGTAAAAAGATGTCAGGTGGAGAATTTAAATGAACTTTTGACTCACTTGAAAGCATCTTATCAAATACGTTTTTTATTATTTGGCTGATTAACGTTTGGTGACTTTCGAGTATTTCAAGATGACAACTGGGTGATCTTAACTAGAGTAAGATGATAATTTTAAACGTTTTTGTTTCGGCCACCATATCATTTAAATTTTGTTACACACATCATTTAAATTTTGTGTTCAAATTTAATCAGAGGGGACTGTACTTTTACTTTTTTGACCAAATTTGAAAGGTTCAAATACGAAATGAAACTGGATATCTTACAAACGAATAGCGAAAAATTAAATTATTCGCAAATAAATTGAATAATATAATGTTGATTAAAAGTTGTTACAAAAAACACTAGATTTCAATAAAACATAGACACACTTGAACCAATCAAAAATTTTGTTGATAATAAAAGTTTGGAACTTTGATTGTGTAACGGTAAGCGAACATGAAACGGCACACTACCAAAAAATTCTTTTAATTTTTAATCAGAAATCATTGAATATTTATTACGGCGCAGAAAAAAAATAAACTTAAAATTACATTTTATTTTTATGCTTGGATGATGAAAAAAAATATAAGCGGCTGTGTTAATAGTGAACGAAGGACAGGAAGTTGAATCACTCTTACGACTTGCAGTTGAACCAACAAATCGAACCAAAAACTTCGATTATTCTTTCTAAAAAAATAAAGTTTGCAAAAATATCCGAATTCTTGACACTTAAAAAGTGCACATTTAGAAATTATACAGGAGGCGAAACATCGAGCACCAAATACACAGCAGGACAAACATACCGACAAAAATAGAAATGAAAGCCGTAGGAAAATAAACACCAAAACAATTGATCTCCCAAAATCTTTCATGAATTTGATTTGATTCTGTGTTGAATAAAAACTCCTGTCATAAAAATATTACTCAGTAAGAAAATTGAAGGTTAAATAAGCATCTAAATGAAGCTTATGTAGCGGTAACAAAGCTGACAATTCTTGAGTGGATAGGATACACCTTGTGCACGAAAAAAAATGTTTTTATTGGACAAACTTAATCACTCAAAAAACTTTCAAGTCCCCCTCAAACACTTCGATAAAAATTGTTAGCTCTTTTAATCTCCCAAAAAAAAACATTTATTAAAACCGAAACCTTGTAAATCGAATAAAGGGGAGAAAAAAAAACAAAAAGTGATATATTCAAATGGGATTGGTAAATTTGTAACCAACGTAAAAAAAAATATTTGAATAAAACGGGCATTTAAAATGTAGGCAGGCTAAAAAATTGTTTGCTCTCCATCTTTCTTTTGATTGACAAAAATAAAGATAACCAATTTTTCAATCATCCTGTGAACAAAGTTATTTAGGAGAAAAAAGTCAAGTACCCGATTGCAATACCCTTCCTTATCGCAAAAGTAATAAAAGGAACAAACAAGATTGGGTTTATGGAAAGTCAGCTAATAACTAAAGGAACAGTTTGGCTGTTATTGCAACATTATTTGCTATTCTAGAGATATAGCAAAAGCGAGTATAGCCGGTTACTGTGCAAGTAGCACAAAAAATTCCAAATACAGTCTCAAAAAGTACAACAATTTTTTTCTCAAATTAGTCTAGTTTTTTCTGCGTGGTGTGTATAAAAAAATCTAAACAAAAAGCAAGAACTTTGACAATCATAGTAAAATAGGCAAATTGAAAACCATTTTTTGCAGAAAAATGACTAAAAAAACAAAAAAAAAATTGATCTTAATTTTTTTTGCTAAATTAAAAAATATATATATTGAATATTTTAATTCCTAAATTGGCGTTAAAAAACTCCAACAACTATTTTTACTCAAGTGAAATCAAAAATAGGCGCACATAAATTTTGTAAACGACTTAAATTGAGCTTAAACAAAAAATTTAAGCCGTTTGTAAACGGCTCAAATTGAGCTTAAACTTAAATTGCTCGAAGTTGGACGAGAAAACAAAAATTTCAAGCCAGCTTTTCTCGCCACTCAGGATTTTTTACAGTCATTCAAATCACGACTGAAAGAACTTTATTTTTTAATTTCATTTGTCCCATTCCGATGATTATTTATAATACCTGACTTTGCAAAAAAAAAGAAAAAAAAACTACATCACACTCGAATACAAATTTCTTCCCCGTTTTCGTTATTGGAACAAAAACGAACCCATGAGGCATCAACCAAATTAAATATTATTGCAAACTCTCTAAAATACTTCATAAAATGATTGAAACAAAAATCATAATAAACAAGGATAGCCGGTTGCTGTGCTTGCATCACAAAAAATTCCGACCCCAAAAACAAAACAAAAAACTATAAAAACAAAAAAAAAACAGATGTTTTTCTTCTGATAACTAAGAGCAAGAACAATCGAGAACTGAACCAAAAAAATTCAAACCGGTTTTTCTCGACACTGAAAAAAAACTGTAAGATCTTTTGAAAATAGTCGGAGACACTAAAAAAAGTTCCGAGACTGAACGCAGTTTCAACTGATATATTACTCTCGTGAGGATTAAAGATCAAGTTCAATTCTTGAATTTTCTTTGCTTTACCTTGAGATTGAAATGAAGCAGAGACACAATCATTTAGATAATTGCTCGTCAAAAAAGGCGAGTAAGTCAGCCGTTCAGTGCGTTCTGCGCTGTATTAATTTTAAAATCGCTGCGCTCCGAAGATTTATTGATGAAGTATCAAGTCAAAAGTGTGCCTCAAACTGATTGAACTTGACACGAGATCTGACTTTTTTTAAATTGGACATCTAATTCAATGATCAGGAGTTCAAAATTTCAGAGAGTACATTTAAGAGATCAGCTGAAAGACAATCTCAAGGTTGTCAATGCGCACAAAAATTGACAACCGTTTTTCGCTTCATAAAGTTTGTGCAGCACAGCATGCTCGACCTATCTCAAGTTAGAGGCAATTGAAGCAGAAAAGCGTAGATGGTCTTTTTTTATCTCAAACTATTTCCATTAGACCCACTTCATTAAACTTTGAGTTGCACTGAATTGAATTAAGCAGCACTTCAGTGTGTTAAAGCTTTATGAATTATTAAGGCCCATAAGTTCATGCAACCAAATTTTTTTCCAGACATCGATGCATCAGTGTTGGAGGTCGCTGAATCGGTTTGAAGTCACCAAATTTAGGCAAAGCTGCTTGTAAAAAAATGAACTGCGAGTAAAAAAAAGTGTGAACCGATATTATGAACAAGCGAGCGTTCCTTGTGTAAGCAAAAGATCCAAACCAAACAAAGTTTTGCGGTAATTTTCAAACAATGATAATGAAAATAATGACAAAAAATGTAGCTACTTCAAAGTTGGAAAAAGGTGCTTAAAACGTCTTAGTTTCCGACTTAGTTTGCTCATTGTTGGTCTACTTTTTTCCGTGAGGCTCAGATTTTCAAAATCTTGTTTTCGCATAATGTAACTTCTCGAATAGTGACTATTCTGATATATTAAATCATAAATTGAAAGACAAACCCAAGAGACATCAAGCATATAAATTTAATAAAAATACGACTTTTACTATCAATTTATTTACTATGTTTTTAAAGAAGTATATGAAAATAATCAAGGATAGTCGGTTGTTTTTTCAAATAGCACAGAACGTTCCGGCCACAAAAAAACTGTAAAAAATTTATGCTCTCAATTTGTGACGATACTGATTGTGGCGTGTGTGATGAGAGGATTTGAACGAAGCATAGAACTTGGGCATGATCGATGGTAGTAAATTGAGCAAAGTTGCACAAACAACAAAAACCGTTTCCTCGAAAATTTCGATAACAGTTTCAGTTTTTTCTATTTGACTGCATGTTTCTCAAACATTGAATGAAAAAAAATGAACCAATTTTACAAAAACAAGAGTAAAACAAATGTTTACGGCATAACTTGAATTATATGCCTGCTATTATAAGGATTTTATTAGACAGCTTGCTTATACTCGCTGGTTTTATTCGCTCGAAAGTAGACAAACAACCAAAACACATTAAAACGGTTGTTCTCCATGCTGAGAAAAAATTTGAAATCAAATCAGAAAAAAAACACGACAGAAAAAACATCTAAATCCTAGACAAGTTAAGAGTGCGGAAAGATCAATTATACTCTCGAGCTATCTCGAGGCTTCCTTGGGATTAAATTTAAGCAGATTAACAAAATCGATCCTAATTTTTTTATTCAAAAAGGAGCAATTTGTTTGCTCCTTCA